CGCGCCACTCGGCCGGCCCCATACATACTTTTTTTAAATGATATTTTTATCCTAGAATTTGAATGTTAGAAACGCTCCTTACTTGAGATCAAGTCCAGTGTCCTTTCTGAAATGGCAATGGGCTCAATAAGACTCTGAAGAGGTCTGTCCAAACCAAAAAAAAAAAAAAAAAAAGGTTCTGAGAAAAACATCTGAAATAGTTAAAGGTAAGATAAACCTGTACTCTCCTAAACTTTGGGGACAGTAGGGATGTCACATATTCAGTCACGTCCTGTAATGAACTTCTGGATTGTCTGAAACATGGTTACACTATAATGTGACAGCTGAGCCAGCAGTGCATTACCAGGGATTCTGACACCAAGGCCCTTTCACTACCACGCTGCATTTGTAGTGAAGGTTATAATGCACACTCTTTAAATCTCTGTTCCCACTGATAAGATTGAGTTTCATTCAACCCTGTGAGCTCAAGAAAGCAATAATATGCTCTCCCATACTGCTGTTAACAGGTCTCTCCCTTTTTTCCCTTGCCATGCATTTGTTGAAAAAACAAGGCCGTGGTCCATGTTTCTCCAACCTTAAGGCACATATGAATTACCTATATCTGGTGAAAATGCAGATTCTGATTCAGTGGGCCATGGGCAGGGCCTGAGAATCTGCATTTCTAATAAGCTCTGTGGAGGTATCAATGCTGCTGTTTTACAGACCACAGGGAGAGTAGCACAGGGCTACATATTTTCCCATATTCTGGATTTGAGTGATTTCATACATGAGATGTGGTTTAACACATTCCTCTATTCTTTGTATTTTCTATAAACAGGTGATCTAGAGGCTTACTCAAATTTGGGCTTGAGTTTCTGCAAAAATATTTAAAAGAGATGCTCTGTTTTTCCTACTGCATCATATCGGGATGCACATGGAAGGCCGGTCTCGGTGATGTTCACTGGTCAGTGGTTTCAGGTGCTGTCAGTCTGTTTCATCTAGTATAAAGTTCCCTATCTGTTTCACCTAATGATTTTAGCAGCCATTGATGATCATAGCCTAGAGCCATTATTCCATTATGGATTGTAATGTGATGACATACAAATTTTTATCATTCCTTCTATATTTATTAACTGGAATTCTATCAGGAATCAATTCCCCTCATCCACTTAAATATTCAGTTACTATGAAACACAATTCATATAGGAAAGTACTTATTGTAATAACCAAGCTCATTCTAGCTGTCCACACTGAAGGAGAAGGAAAAGATCCAAATGGCTTTGCTTCAATTGCTGAGTCACTAAAGTATATACTGAGTCTACAGAAAGCTGGTCTCCCAAGTATGAAAATTGCTGAGCAGAGAGCTGACACTTTCACCCTAAGAAATGAACTGTGGGAGCCAAGCAGGCATGGTCGAGACCACTGGGCTGAATTCCTATCCAGGATCTGCCACTAATTAAAGATTAAGAACAATTCTACATAATGTCTCCCAAACTTGCCTGATTACCAGAATTACCTGGAGGATTTATTAAACATACAGAGCCTCAAGTGATCCTCAATCCTCAAACCTACTACACTAGAATCTTCAGAAGTGGGCCCTGGGAAGTAGTTTGGAAAACTCACCCTAAAAAGAGAGTACATTGGCTATCATTGCTTGATGGAATATCCCTTGAGAAATATCAAACTCTGCTGCCTCAAAATGTCTGTATTTCTCAAGAAACTTTTGAGTGTATAACTGATATCATTTAGTGAATGTACCACCCTCGGGGCAAAAATCAATACTAGTTCTGGAGACACCCTTAATAATTACATGGCATGTCATTCTGGCCTACAAATCATCTCTTTTTAGTTTGGTTATTGCAAGTCTCCTATACCTGGAGAGGCTGCTAAATTCATTTTATTCTCCTGTTGAGCTGAGAAGTAGTCCCTTGACGCTGGTAACTATATCATGGGAAAAAAAGCTCACAAGTGAGGCCTAAGCATCACTCTTTGAAATCCTTCATGTTGATTCAACAACATCCTTGTTTCTTTTTCACCTGCCAAGCTTCTTGAATAAAGGGTTTTTAAAAGCAACTTTCTGCATTTTCTCATTAACCAAACCTTCGTACACTTGATACCGGCCAATTTCATTGAGTCATTTATTCATTCAACCAATATTGAGCATTCCAGGCACTGTGGTTAGCACCCAGGCAGCACTAAACAAAACCAGGTCACTGCCCTCAGATCTTATATTCCAGTGGATGAAAGAACACAAACAAGTAAACAAATAAGTATGTAACATAATATTATGTGCTCTTGTTATGAGTCACACTGTGTCCCCTCCAAAAATATGTTGAGGTCCTAAGGGCCGACAGCTGTGAATGTGATCTTCCTTATTTGGAAAAAGTCTTTGCAGATGTAATCAAATTAAGATGAGGTCATACTGGATTAGGGTAAGCCCTCTTCCAGTGACTGGTATCCTTATAAGAGGGAAATCTGGATAGAAAGAGACACACACAGGGAAAATACCATGTAAAGATGGAGGCAGAGATTGGAGTGCTGCAGCTGCAAGCTAGGAATGCCAAAGAGTTCCAGGAACCACCAAAACCTAGGAGAGAAATATAGAACAGAATCTCCCTCAGAGCCTCCAAAAGGAACAAACCTGCCAACACCTTGATTTCAGACTTCTGGCCTCCAGAACTGTGAGAATAAATTTCTGTTGTTTTAAGCCATCCAATTTGTGGTAATATGTTACGACAGCTCTAGGAAATCAATACAGCTATGAAAAAAGCAAATCATGGTAAAGGGCTAGAGAATAGCAGAGTATGGTAAGTGGCTTTTTCATAAAAGAAAGGTCTTTCTGTGGAGGATAAATCTGAGTCCTGTGCTGGAACAGGCCTGTGAGCCATAAGACGGAGGGATGAGATGAAGATGATTACAGAGACAAGTAACAGCAAGTGCAGGGCAGAAAGCCACAGCTGGAAGTGTCTGAAGAACAAGCCCATGTAGCCGGAGAGGAGCAGGGAAAGGTTGGTCAAGGCCAGAGCTTGTGGAGCCCTTTTGGAGCTGTGGTAAAGGGTTTGGCTTTTATCTTACTTGTGATGGGAACTACACTCACGGAGATGCTGAAATGCAAAGGTCACAACGGTCCCCCATGGCAAAATCCACTGGCCTTTTTTCCTCATTCATGTTCTCGGACTTCTGAAACACATGGCTGATTACTGCCTCCTCTCTTTTGAAACTCTTTCCTATGCTTTAATAAAACTTCAGTTGTCCTAGCCCAAAGTACATTTTTTTTGGGTCTACTTCTCTTCTTAAACCCCCTAAATATGGATTTCCTTAAGGTTCGATCTTTGGTCTCCTGCCCTTGAGAAATGCACCCTCTTAGGGTTTGATGACCTCTCCCACACCATGACCTCCAGCACTGACCTTTGTCCTGAGTTTTAGCCCATGTTCTTACTACCAGAAAAACATTTGGACAGTACCTTAAACTTCATATACTGAGATCATCTTCCCCCTACACTAACTAGCTCACCTTCCCCATATAAGGTCCCTATTTCTATTGATGTATGTTATTTTCCCAGACACCAACATTTGAACATTTGGAGTGAGTCAGTATGGAGTTCTCATCCTGTTCCCCCGCTATTATCAAATCAATCATCTAATTCTTCCTTCAAACTGTCCCTTCCTTTCCATTTCTTCTACCATAATCCAGCTTAGCCCTTTTCCACCTCACTTTTGATTCACTGCAAATTTTACAGTATCCCTTGTTCTTCGTTTGTTTTCATTTATTCTTTCACAATATTCATCCTAAAGTTATGATTATGCTGCTCTCCCTATCTTGCCTCTAGGCTAGAGCATTAAATCCAAACTCCCTACCCAAGTATACTATTCAGAGTCCTTTTAAGATGGGTCCATCTATCCTCCTGACTCATTCTTCTGTAATCATGTCCTGACTACAATTCTCACCACTGCAGCCTACTCCCCTTCTCCCTTGCCTGGCAGCATCCCTTTTAACCGTGAGATCCAGTTTAAGTTGCTCCACATACGCAAGTCATTTCATCCCCCCTTGGTCTTGGTAAGATCCTGTTAAAATAAATGGGAGCCTTAAAACTCCAGGTGATACGTTTTACTACAGTCATCAATTCTGGAATATAGGCATTCCCCTTTTGGGAAATGGGCCTTTTCCAAAGGGAAGGAGTTTCATTTATGTTTTTTGTTTATTTCTTTGACTGTATTAACAGTCTTCCCTCAAATTCTTGAGAACCCAGATTATGCCTTTTTTACGCAATTCTGTTCACACATCATCTAGCTCAGGAACTTGCACATAAGGGTAGCCCTGAACAGAGTGACTGGAAAAAGTCTAACTAGGCTAGGAAAATATTCAGAAAGGCTGCATCCCCATCAAAAGCTTTAGGAGTGTAGGGAAGGAGAGTACACATCTCCTAGTATGAAGGCTGACTAGTAGCTGCCACAACAAGGATTTTTCATAATTATCTTTTATAACGCTGTCTCATGAGTCTATAATTTTTGCTGGCTGAGTAGGGAGGTTAGTCAAGTTCTCAAGGGAATTTTTGCAGCTTAAATGGATGTTTCCATAGTTGAGAGGTGCGGGGCGGGGAAAGGGACCTGGCATTAATACTGGGGGTGATTTATGTGGCAGGCAGGGCCACACCCAGTAATTATTCACTTTTTTTGTCCTCACAAGGTGTGGCCGCCTCCACTTTCCTTAGTTGAGCCTTTCTACCAACTTTCTTTGCTCTCTTCCAAGAGCGAATAAACTTTTAAAAAAAAGAAAAAAAAGGAGGGCGTTGGAAGAATATAGAATTTAAATTTTTAGAAGAGAATAAAAACTTCATTAACAACCCCTCTCCCCATGATACAGGATAAATTACCAACAATTAGGAAAACGTACAAAATAGTCTGTCCTTAGCTGCAAGCCTGCGGCAATGATTCGTGCCTGATCCAATCATATAATCACCGGATTTAAAAATCTACCATCAGTAAGAGCATTCATTCCTTTCTAACTCACTGCAAACAGTCCCAGGAAGTGGCGACTAGGTAAGATCTGGAAACGATGATTCTAAAGAATTTTGAAGGGATTAGAAGGGGACGTAAAGCTACCTTTCAACGCCATTCAACCGAGAAGCGCTTTAATGAACCTCCACCCGACTTCCCCCACCTTTTTCCATGTGCCCCTTTAATTCCCCTCTACCCTTTCCATCTCCTCCCATGCCCTCAATTGCTTCCTCTGTTACCTGCTCACTAAGTCTCGAGGCTTGGGCACAACTGTGCAGCCGAAGTGCCAGCCGGCAAGGAAGGGGTGCGAACAGAGCGCGCCGGCGCTCGCGTGCAGTTTCCACCTCTACAGAAGCGCGCTCCGCCCTCCCAGCAGCCTCCGAGCCGCGGGCCGAACCCAACCAGTTAGCCCCGCCTATCCCCTAGCTAGGCCCCGCCCGCTGGGCAGAGAGCTTTTTATCCCTTGGCAGGCGCCGTAGTCATCCAACCCGCTAGGTCTGACTCTTTCTGCGCCGGCGGGAAGTGGGCGGGTCTGGTGCCTTCCACTTCTAGCTCCCGGCCTCTGCAGTCAGACCCCCAGGCTGGGGAAGTGTCGCCTTGTAGGTCGCCAGTGGCCTTTGCGTTAACGCTTTCTTGTGCTGCGGCAACGAGGCTGCGATTGCTCCAGGGCCCTGGGGCGGGCAGAACAGTTTCTGCTGTCTGCGGACCCGTTGGGAGAGTACAGCGGACGCGGCAGGCAGGGTCCTAGGTTCCTCCTGCCTCCTAATCCCCTGCAACCCCCTGCACCACCCGCAACCCCCCTCCCCCTCCTTCCTTTGCTCTGCGCCTCCTCCCTGGCTGCGGGCAGACCGCTCCACACCGCCGCAGCGCCAGGAGTCTGGACAGCCTGCGGGAGGCACCCACGCCCACACTCACTCCTGGCCGCACCTCTTCCCAGCATGTCGGCGCTCGAGTGGTACGCCCACAAGTCCCTGGGCGACGGCATCTTCTGGATTCAGGAACGCTTCTATGAGTCTGGTAACCGTGCCAACATCTGGCTGGTGCGCGGCTCGGAGCAGGACGTGGTGATCGACACGGGCCTGGGGCTGCGCAGCCTCCCGGAATACCTGTACTCCTCCGGCCTCTTGCAGGACGGCGGGGCCAAAGAGGACGCGGCGTGCCGGCCGCTGCTGGCGGTGGCCACCCACGTGCACTTCGACCACTCCGGCGGTCTCTACCAGTTCGATCGGGTGGCCGTGCACCACGCCGAGGCCGAGGCACTGGCTCGCGGGGACAACTTTGAGACCGTGACCTGGTTGTCCGATAGTGAGGTGGTGCGGGCGCCCAGCCCCGGCTGGAGGGCCAGGCAGTTCCGAGTGCAGGCGGTGCAGCCCACCCTCATCCTGCAGGATGGTAATGGGCCCTCACGGGCGCGCGCTCTCTCATTAAGGGAGGGGGTTGGGAAGAAACTGTCCGAGGGATGCATGTTGCAGATGTGCGTGACTCTAAAGGTGCTTGTTTTGTTACTATTCAGAAACACCACTTTTGTTTTGCCCTATCCTGACGACCAGAGCCAAGGCCACCGCAGCCTTCCCTACCAGAGAGTAGCCCTAGCACGGTGTAGCAATGCTGAGTACTCGAATGAAAACTGGCCCCACCTCCTAGTCAGTTTCCTGTGTAATGTATAGTGGTAACGCTGCAGACGTGTGACTAGGAATTTCGCATTCTTTTCCCGTACACCTGTCAGACATTTCCAGGCATTATTCTAGAGAGAAGACTTATAAGGAATGACGCCTCAAGGAGAGTGCATGTCATGCCCTCTGCTTTTGAGAACTGCTGACTTCATCTGCTCGGTAACCGCCAGCTATGAGCAATTCCCACCTGTAGGTTTAGAAAGCCATTAGAGAACAGTGGCTGCCATCTGCTTGTGCATCTTTATCTTCCAGATAGATAGATTTCTGTTCTTGATGTTGCCTCACCAGAGAAAGAGCTTGATAGGGTACATAAAAAGTAGAATATGTCTGAGTCTTACATTATGATCGATAGCTGCTCTGGTTGACAGCAAGGCCTGGGAAAGATTAATAAGATGTTTGCAGGTGATAGTTAAGTATGTGGACTAACGCATAGGTAGCCCTGGTCCTCTCTGGCTCCGTGAAAGATAGGGTTCAGGGAGAAACTAATGGAATAAAATATGAGTAGGGCCCCAGTTAGGTCCACAAGCAATATTTGTATATTAATTACCTTTTTATCTTTTTAGAATACTTTTTATTTCATTTTATCCTCACAACATGTGAAATGAGGCAGCAGACCCCCAATTAAATGCATGCCTAGAGCTCACAGAGCAAGATAGTGACAAAAGCTAGGACTTGAACCAAGGCACAATATACCAAAGCATGCAGATCATACATAAATCCTACCCCATAACTATATTGTAATTCCAAGTAGGATTTGAAACCCCCTTCCCACTCTATCTTGAAACCATTTTAATTGCCAATTTATTAAAATATTCCTCGAAGAGGTAGAAAAATCCAGTTGCTGCTGTATAATATGACCAACTAATATGACAAATAATGAAATATTTTACAAAAATCAGTTTACCTTACAGGTGAGATTCTGATCACTTGAGGTATAAAAAATAGAAAGCAAGATTCTATATCTCACACCCTACCCAAAGTCTTTTCATTAAAAATTTAAATCTAAAGATTAAAAAACTGGTTTAGAAGGGAATCTTACATCACCTAACAATTTGAGATGAAAGAAAAGTACATTTACATTAAATGTACTTTAAATTACTGTATATCTTGATAAAATTGCTACTTTTAAAGAAAAGATTTTCCGCAGTTGATGGGTATTCAGAATAAATTTTTTCTGGCATCCAGACCAAGATATGTTTACATTATTATTTAAAATATGTTTAAATTGTCTACATGAATAAATTACTTTTTGATTTACAATATTTACTTTTGTTCTCTGCCAGCAATAGGAAATCAATGGTGAAACAATGATAGGAATTGATGTTTCCTAGATAAACAGTCTAAGCAGGCCTGAATATCATGCCTGAGATTGCACTGCCACTGTGGGAAAGAGCTGGGAATAGACTCCAGGTTTCCTAAATCCCAGTTGATGGTACAATTATAGTCTTATAATTATAATTAAAGCATTTTGGAGCTGCAGGCTACCTGTGTGGTGCTTGTAAGCCTTTGAAGGTGTGAAAAGAAAGCTTAATATTTACCAGACACATTGAAGGTGATAATACTGTGTAAAAAGTTGTTTTTCACTGGGAACTGGATGCCTCCCTCTTTCAAGTAGTATCTAATTTCTACTTTACTTGGGAATATTAATTTCCTGTCTCTTCTGAATGGTGTGGTCTACTAACTTGCTATCATCGTAATCCTGATGCCTGGAAGGAGATAAAATATTTATATTAAAATTGATACACAGTTACACACATCAACAGCACATACAGAACAGTGTAAAATCTTCATTGCTTTGATTAGAACATAAAGAGAGCGAAGTCATTACATTTCGTTTAAGTGAATTGATCACCTGTATTGAAGATAAATAAATCTGTGCACTGTAACTCAAAAACTGACCTGTAAATGAGGGACAGAGGATAAGGAGAAATCATCATCCAGTGCATCGTCTTTGATGGAAAAACAACTCGTCCTACTACTTGTGAAATAGTGTCTTCCTGTAAGAAAATAGTGATAAACCTTAGATGGATATAGTACATTCTTCTTGGATGGGCACACATTTTGTCTATTTTCACAATACTCATGTGATTTGAATGAAATGCAGGCATTTTGGCTCCTATTAGGCATGTTTAAACTATTGGGTCGTCAGGAAAGTCATGGCGCATTTTTGCATTGAAAAACAGAAAAATACTTCATAACTCCCGACATCCCAATATTTGCCCAGAGTCACCGAGATATTAGAGCAGTTGTTTCAGGTGGACTTGAATCATTTGGGGAAGTTAAAAACAAAAAGTAGATTCCAGAAAGGTAGCAAAATGAACAAACACACTGATTTGACTCCCTTCCAAAACCCCAGTAAGACTACTGTGAAGGGACTGTGGTTTGTTCATTTTAAGTATAAATCCACATTGACTGAGGAACTGTTTCAGATGCTGCAGAGATGATGACAGAGTTAGCAATTTTATCCTGTGCCAGCAATGGGAAATGAAGAGCCAATCCAGTTTGCACTGCAGGAGTCTTAAAAGGAATTAGCAGTAGCTGGTACTTTAGTGGGGGCAAAGTGAAGAATACTACTAAGTAGAATGGGTTGAAAGCATTTAAGAAACTGTTAAAACTCTAGAACCCTTTTTCCTAAGTGAATGCCCATCCAGTTTGTTCTCTGGAGAGGGTAAAGCAGGTTTCTTGATCGAGGGGATGCCAAGTACTGTTGAGCTTAGGACTCTAGAATGGAAAATAGGAATAAGTGTGTGTATGTGCATTTTCAAAATGGAAAATAGGAGAAATAAAGAGTTTCCCAGACAATGAGTGCCAGGCCTTTGGCCCCCAGGTAGGAAATTGAAAGACTCTTATCTGGGATATCTAACCAGCCATACAGGAAACACTAAAATGCTAATCCCTAAGTAATCCTTGGCTTGATAGCTCTACAGGGGAGCTGAGGTCACTAGATCCCATGCATGTGTTTCAAACAGCCTTTTCATCCCCTACTTTTTTTTTTTTTTTTTTAAGATTTTGGGGAATTGGGGGAGGGGAACAGACAAGTTGCTGTCCTTTTGTTCTTCAGTCTAATTGTGAAGGACGTCGCTTCACTGGCCCATGTTGGTATTATCATTGCGCTCTTCCTGGGTGAGGCAGCTAAAAATCCTTGTATTTCATAGTGGAAGTCAACAGATAATATCTTTTAAAAACCAAGAAATGGAAATGCATAAATGAAATGAGAACAGTTTAATTGGTACGTCAAGAAATGAAGTATAAACATTATTTAGAGTTAACTACATTTAGTAAAGGCAACTATCAGAAAAAAAAATAGCTAAACCTGTTAAAATGGTTGCCTCTTGGGAGCAGAATTGGAGACAGAATGGGGCAAATAACTTTTTCTAATATTTAAGCCCTTCTGGAATACTTTATTTGAAATATGCACATATATTTATTTAACTAAGAATGAAATAAAAATAAAAGAATGGGGATGCCAAGATGAGAAAGGGTATTTGAGAAGCCAAGAGAACTCTAGTATGGTTGGAATCTGGTAACAAGTAGGTCAGAGTGAGGGCTTGGGTGGATAGTGTGCGTGTATATGTGTGTATTATATATGGATACATTTCATGGGCTGTTCTGGTTCTTGTAGAAAGGTTTTGATAAAATTATATATGAGCATTATAGGCATATGGAAAGCACTTATAAAGCCACAGGGTAATGGCAGATGTCATGATATTCAGCCATTATGACCTTATCAGTTGCTTATAGTTGGTATCTATTTTGATAGGTAGGGCTTATGTCTTTTCTATTGCTAAATATTTTGAATATCACCTGAATAAAACAAAAGATTAATAAGACTCTACACTGATAATTCTGGATAGTTCCCTTTTTTAGGATCAAACTTCTGTTACACCCCTCCTTTCTGCAAACTTTAATAACAATTGGTCTCCAACAGCTCTATTAATTCAATTTAGCTATAATTTACCTTACGAGCCAAACATAAAGTGGTAGTGATTTCTAATCCCCAGAGACACTGTAAATCTGGAACAATTATCCTGTGAAGGACTCTGGCCCCTTATGACTGGAATGCTGGGAAATTTGGGAGTGTCTGATGCCATCTCAGTGTAATTAAAGACAAGACCAGGACAATCCCTGGTCCCACCTTTGGCCCCACTGATCTGTTTTGTGTCACTATAGTTTCATTTTTCTGAAAATTTTCCATAAATGCAATTATATAATATATAGTATTTGTGTCTGCTTTCATTTGGCATGTTTTGGAGATTCATCCATATTGTTGTATCTATTCATTCCTTTCTATTGCCTAGAAATAATTCATTTATGGATATAACATATCTATTCGTCTGTTGAAGGAAATTTGAATCTTTCTAGTTTGGGGCTCTTATGAATAATGCTGCCATGAACATTTGCATACAAGTATTGGTGTGGATACATGTTTTCATTTCCCTTGGTAGATACCTAGGAATGGAATTCCTGGGTCTTAAGTATGTGTATGTTAATCATTTAAGAACGTGCCAAACTGTTTTCCAAAATAGTTATACCATTTTACATTCCCATCTGGGTTCCAGTTTCTCCGCATCTTTGTCAACATGTGATTTTTGTCAGTCCTAAACTGATTTTAGCCATTCTAGTGAGTCTGTAGTGGTATTTCCCGGTGATTTAATTTCCATTTCCTTAATGACTAATGATATTGAGCATCTTTTCAGGTACTTATTTGCTATTCAAATATCTTCTTTGTTAAACAGTCTATTAAATTTTTTTCTCCTTTTTAAAAATCTAATTTTTGTTTTATTATTATTATGGTATAAGTGTTCTTTATATTTCTGAATTCAAGTCCTTTATCAGATATACAATTTGCAAATATTTTCTCCTAATGTGTGGCTTGCCTTTTCATTTTCTTAAGGGTAACTTTTAAGCAAGAAACTTTATAACTTGGATGAAATCCATTTAGTCATTTTTTCCTTATGTTTTATGCTTTTTGTGTCATAGATAAGCGCTCTGTGTCTAGCCCAAGATCACAGATATTTTCTATTGTTTTTCTAGAAGCCCTGACATTTAGGTCTATGATCCATTTTGAATTTTTGTTAATATTGTGAAGTAAGGGTTGAGAGCTTCTTTTTTCTGTTGTTTTTTTTGTTTGTTTGCATATGGATATCCAAAGTACCCCAGACCAATTTGTTGAAAATATTATCCTTTTACCCACTGAATTATCTTGGTTGACACTTTTGTCAAAATTCCATTGCACCATATATATGTGTATCTTTTTGGTCTCTATTCTCTTCCATTAATTATATATATATAATTTAGCCAACTCCACACTGTCTTGCTTATTGTAACTTTATTATAATTCTTAAAATTAGGTAATGTAAGTCTTCCAATTTTTTTATCTCTTTTTCAAAATTGTTTTGGCTATTCTAGGTTGTTTGCATATCCATATAAATTTTAGTCAGATTTTAAATTTCCACAAAAAAGCATGTGAAGATTTTGATTGAGATGCCATTGAATCTGTAGATCTACACTGACAATGGTCAGTAGCCATTACAGTAGCCATTAGCCACATGTGATATCTAAATGCAAATTTAAATTAATTAAGATTGATTAAAATTAAATTTTTAGTTCCTTAGTTGCACAAGCCTTATTTCAAGTGCCATTAGCCACATGTACCTAGTGGCTACCATGTTGGACAGTGTTGATACAGAATATTTTGATAATCTCAGAAAGTTCTATTAGACATTGCAGCTAGAGGAAAAACTTGAACTTAATTACCATCTTAATAATTTTGAGTTTACAGTCAATGGAAATAGAATATCTCTCCTTTTGTTTAGGTCTTCTTTAATTTCTCTTGATAGTGTTTTTATAATTTTCAGTCTCTGTTTTTGGTGCACGTATAGTTTTTATTTTTACTGTATTGACCTAATGTATTTCTTCAGATAATGTACCTCTTTTCTCTAGTAATAGTCCTTATTTTGTCTGCTATTAATATAGCCACTCTAGTTCTCTTACAATCAATATTTATATGGTATATAACTTTTTCAACCTATTTTTGTCTTTGACGTTATAGTTCCTTTTGTAGACTGACATATATCTTGCTTTTTAAAATATAGTCTGACAATATTTGTCTTTGATAAGAGTGTTTATCCCATTCATATTTAATGTAATTATTGATACAGTTGTATTTAGGTCTGCCATTTTATTTGTTTTCTATGTCTCATTTCTTGTTTATCCCTCCATTACTTCTTTATTGTAGTCTTTTATGTTTAACAAATCCTGATTATTATATCATTTTAATTCCAATATTAACTTTTTAACTCTGTTTATTTGAGTTTTTTCTGTGTACATGTGTTTGCACTAGAGATAACAGTATGAAACTTTTCACGTATGATGATTTACTTAAGTTTGTACTCATTTAAAACCAATAAAATAGCAAATTTGTATTCATATGGCTAAATTTCCTCCCACTGTCAAATAACTGGGAAAAAGTATGACTTTTTACCCTACTTGCAAGTTAGTAAGTTAGTCAGCTCAGTTGAATAACTTCTGACAGAAGACATGAGGTCCCTGGCTTAGACGCTAAGGACAGTTTATTACAACAGCAGCAGCAGCCCGAGCAGCAGCCTTTATCCAAGTTCCTCAAGCCTCAATTCCCACAGGGTAACAAAAGAAGGGGAAAAAATACAATGCTGTTCACTAGAGCAGCATTCCTGAATGGTGTCATCAGGATCCTGGTACCATGTATATTCTGAAAAATAAAAGTTTCTGTGGTCAAATAAGTTTGAGAAACTGTATAACCATGTCTCCCTGATATATATCCACAATGTACATTAGCATATTAAAAGCTCTAAGAAGCCTTGCCGAAAAGAAAGCTGCTTAATTTTCTTTAAAGAACGACTACCCAAAATTAGTTGACCACAGAATCTTTTTTTTTCCTTCTTCTTCTCTTTTATGTATCATAACAACCTGCAGAAAGAGTGTTCCACATTACTCACTTTAGCAAACACTGGTCTAGCAAACAATAGAAATAAAATATAGGCAATTTATTTTTAAATTATCATTAAGAACTATGGTATTTTAAAAATAAAAGTAAAATAAGGGTCCCCTTCCCAACCTCTTTCAAACCATTTAATGTTCTTCTATTCTTTAAGTGATTGAAGTCATGTATGCAACATGTTTACCTGTAAACTCTGTTTCCATTTGTAGGGGATGTGATCAATCTCGGTGACAGACAGCTCACTGTTATGCACATGCCTGGTCACTCCAGGGGCAGTATTTGCTTACATGACAAAGACCGAAAGATTCTCTTCAGTGGAGACGTCGTGTATGATGGATCACTGATTGACTGGCTCCCATACAGCAGGATCAGTGACTATGTGGGAACCTGTGAACGTCTGATAGAATTAGTGGACAGAGGTCTGGTAGAGAAGGTGCTTCCTGGGCATTTCAATACCTTTGGTGCTGAAAGGCTTTTTCGATTGGCTTCTAACTATATTTCAAAAGCTGGGATATGTCACAAAGTTTCTACTTTTGCCATGCGATCTCTTGCAAGTTTAGCCCTACGTGTAACCAATTCTAGGACCTCAGCCTAGTACCTAAATTGATAATCTATTCCGATTAATTCTATAAATTAATCCAATTTATTTTGTGCTGGTTAAAATGATTAATGGTGAGCATTTCAAAAAGTGTTATTATACTACTGTTGTATATTAGAGAAAAAAGATAGAGAATGAATAAGTCAAAAAAGAAAATTCTTGGTTTATTTTTTTCTTTCTTCCAAGTAAGAAACCACTAAAATAAGATTATAATTTACAAAGCTGTCATCCTTTAGTATTTGCTCTAGAAATGACATACAAGTATATGGGGAAGCAAGGAGGCATTTTGCAGTAAGAGGAAGACTTGTCCTTGCCTCCTATTTGTCTTATTTCCTAGGTGACAGAAAAAATGGCATAAAGAGTATTATGTTTATACTCCAAACTTAATATTTTTAGTACGTTATTTAAAGATAAAAGGTTCTTGGGTTTAAAATACATTAGAACTCAATGCAACCATATAAACTAAGATTTAGAATGACAGCTAAAACAATCCATTGTTATGATACAGAATTTTTATGCTTTATTTTATTTATTCTTAATGTAATTATAGTGTACATTATATGTTGTGTAATTTTACTTACAAAAAGTACAATGAATCTTGTGTTATTGAAAGCTTTAAATGTAAATTGCAGAGTGCTTTAGTGAAAAGCTATTATATATTGTTTGTTATTATGTATGTGTAATATTATCAATCATAAAAGTGAAATTCAAATGTCTGTAATCTAACTACAAATTGTCAGATTTCTCAAAAGGACACTGTCAGGCAAATTTGAAAATATACATATTGAGAATAATTTTTTATTATATCCTATTTTAATATTAACAGCTATTATAAACAAAATTTTTCTTGTGAAATAGCAACATCAGTATGTGTCATATTTTATCTTATCCAAACCTCTATAGAGATCTACAACATCCTGATATAAATCATTCTTTTACTTAGCATAACAAACATATGTACCATAGAAGTCTTCTCAAATTAATTGCAAAACGTGCATTAGAAAAGTGAATTGCCTTTTTAATCCTGATTCACAACACCTATTCCTGTTCAGTATTCTTTGTCTTGAATGAAAAGAAGTCTACGTTTGTAAAGTTATAGGAAAGACTATATCACTATTTAGTAAAATGTTTTGGTTTGGTGCTCTTAATAATTTATTCAAAAACCCTTTTGGAATATTTCATAAAGTTTTTTTAAAATTTTTTTCACTGCCTTTTTATTATTGACATGCCGAAAACCAAACTGAGGTAGCTTTGGAAATCAGTTTTAGTCTTAGGAAGGTCCAGCAATTGATTTCTGAAAAATTATGAAACTTTCCTACCCTACACCCACCCAGGTTCTTTATTCTTTTATTCATCAACACACGTGCTCATACACACACACATACACACAATCACATACATACATGCACAGCATTGTGATAAACACTGTGGAAAAAAGTGAAAGAGACTACATTCTAGCTGGAAGTAGAAGACAAACTATGGATAATATTATATGCAGGTTGAAGTTAATACAAACTACATATAAATCAGGGACATAATTGGAGGGATGTGAAGTTTGGCCAGGGAAAGGTTCCTGGAAGAGGGGTTTTTAAGTCAGATATGGAAGGATCATTTGTTAGGTGGTCAGGGAAGGATACAAAAAGATCCAAGAATAGGAATGGAAGCATTGCTGTCTAGAACAGGCTGTTCCCTGTGACAGTGTAAATTTTATTTTCAGGAATCTTAGATCTTCCAAACACCAAGTATTTAGCATGAGAAAGATGGGTTTGTGATTGTGTACATAAGAATTGCCCTAAATGACAGACAAGATGTACTGCCACATGCCACCAAATGAACCTTTACTTAAAATCAGTAAGGAGGCCATGATTGTTCAAATATAGAATATCATGGGAGTTTCTCTATGATAGTCATTCAAGGCAGGAGGTCTGTTTCAGTTGATAGTGCAACATCAAGAATATAAATTTGGTTCAGGGCAACTACAAACAATCACTTAATGAGCCTTAAATATAGCCATTATTTTTATATCAGTAGCACAAAAGAAAACCAAAAGTCCTTAACCATTGACCATTTTATCATACTTTAGGACTTTTTAATTTTTTTTTAGGCACTCATTTTTATTGAGAAATATTTAAACCTGATGAAGGTTTTCCTTATTTCTTAAAAGTGCAATTTTTTAAAACACTTTGATTTTATTTTTAAATTTTCCAATTTTTTTCTTTCAGTTTTTCAAATTGTACCAAAATATAAGACTGTGATATTTGACTATTGCTTCAATATTAATAAATTGGTGAAAGGATCTATCATTCATTTAGTGCCCATGCTCTGAATTTTAAAATGTGCATTATTTAATTTAATCCTGGCCCCAGTGCCAAGAAGTAAAGTAATTGACCAGCCTCACACAATACAACTTTTGACAAAGCTGGTAATTGAACAATAGGTCTGTCTGCCTCTCAAACTGTGCTCTTTCTCTTATACCTGCATAATAAAATAAAATTGGCAAAGTATATTTTTACTTTCCAAGATGCCATATGTGCCAAGAATAAATCAAGTGATGTTAAAGCATAATAACATTTTTTAAAAAGCTTTAAAAATATGTATTTTCACCCTGACAGTGACCCTTGTTATAATTTATGTTTTTTAGAAATAATAGTATGTAAGTATAATTCAAAGTTGGCAAAATGTAAGACATTTAGAAATAATTTTTATTATTTATATTGTTAATCTTTGGAAATTCATTTTTCTTATTTGGTGTTTCCTTTTAACTGAGAAGTCTTAAATGAAAACCTTGTATGTTACCCTGATATAGTTGAATAAATTATTATGTGTAGTTCTTATATGGGTAGTAATATGAATGTGACATGCACAAGTTGTCCGTTATAATTTTCAAATAAGTGTAAGTAAATATTTGTGTGATAAATATTAAAGTGGGTGTTTTATTTCAATCTTCAATTGGTATATTTTTATGATCTTAACAAATTCCCATTTAATTTCTTGCAAGGATATTTCCTGTATGGAGTGCTGTTTTGAAAAGCTTGTAATAAATAAGATGTCAAGTCCATGGACAAGAACAGAGAATTTAGAAACCAAAAAATACCAATATAAGCTTTTACAACAAAATTTAAATCATGTTTAAGACATTAGGATTAAGGACAACTGTTATATAGAAGCAAAAATCAAAATTACATCAAAATTGAAAAATGTGTTAGAATTCAGATGCCATAAAGTTAAAAAGAGAGAGAAATTAGAAAATATTCACAACTTGTATAACAGAAAATATTTTTAAACAAATATAAAGAATGCCTACAAATCAATAAGGGTAAGCTATAGGGGAGGAAAGACCTTTTCTCTAACCTCTTATGTTCTGTGGCTGGGCCTGAGAATTAAACTTACAAAAGACATTAACAGCAGCAAAGCATTCAAATTTTTTTTTATATTAATATTTTTACATGTATACGGAGATGTTCATATATAAGAAATGAAAGCCCAAAGAAGTAGATAGGCTTGAGAGCTTATGTACCATGTTAACAAAGAACAATAAATTGTAAAGACTGACATGACAGGGGTTTGGGCTAGGGTTGGTCAACTGTGGGAAAGTGACTAGGAAATACATGAGGGAAACTATTGGGCCGTCGGAAAAGTCATGATGTATTTCTTCTGTTTTTTGTTGCAAAAATGCATCATGACTTTTCCAACAACCCCAATAATTAAACACAAGGTTATTTTACTAAGTTTGTTTATGCAGATTAATCTTGGTGTCAGCTCCCCGTCTCCAGTGATAAGAATGTTCTCTTCCTGGTATAGAGAAAGCACCTTTCTCATGGGAAATTTTATGTCCTGCATTAGATAGAAGTGGGAGGTCAGAGAGCTTTTCCTGTATTTGCTTTTTCTCAAATGCTTTTTGCTCAATCCACTGCCAAATCAAGCAATATGCCAAAATGGGATATTTTGGGATGGCATGTTCTAATCTCCTTCACTACCTATTAGAAAAATGGGTATATTATATGAACAGGCTATATTCATATATGCAATGGGTATATTCGTAGAACAGGAAATACAAAGGGCCAATAAACAAAGTTATGATGAACCTCAGTAGTAATCAGGGAAATATAAATTTTAATAATGAGATAATTTATCCAGATTGGGAAACTTTGAGAATATGGAATGTCGGTAAGGGTAAGTGGATATTTTCATGCTGTGCTGCTAGGACTAAAGCACTATAGCCATTTGGGGGGACATTTTTGGAATGTGATTTGACACATTATGATTGGGGGCTAAGAATGGAGGTTGAGCACACACCTTAACTTCTGCTTTTTTCTGAAAATAAAATCAGAGAAAAGGCTTTTTTTTTTTTTTAAGCTGAGCCATCCTGCTACCTGTTGGCAGCTCAGCGGCTGCTCAGCTCGGGCTGGACTTGAACCGCTGTTGCTCAGAGCTCAAACTCTTGAGCGAGCTCTTAACCAACTGAGCCACTCGGCCGGCCCCTGGCTTTTTTTTTTTTGAATGGCACAAATTCACAAGAATAGCAAGAATGGTAAAGGAGACAACAGCATCAACATTTTGGGCAATGGAAAGCTGATAGAGGAATGAAAACTGATTTGGCAAACCCAAGAAAGCTGTAAACAGGAATAAGGAAAGCCAAGAAGTAACCTTATTACCACACAATCTCCTTTTCCCCCTAAAAAGGCTTAGACACTGATAGTACCAGGTACCTCTAGAAGTTGGGGTGAAAGTGTTTTTGATTCAAATTCTGTTTATGATTTAGACTAGCAAATCCCTTTCTAATCCTCCACTACTAAGTAACATCCTGTCCCCACCTGGGGAAGATGGGAAGCTAATTTAGATTTACCATGAAATTAAGTAATCTTTAGCTTCCAGAGCCCAGCACTTGCAGGGGCCCAAGAAAACAAAGTTACTTTTTAGTCTTTCTCTCAAAGCCCCTAAATTGCATAAACTTCAGGCCCCTCAAAACAGATGTACTCCTGAAGAGGATTTTAGAGGATTATTACGTGGGGAGGGTAAAACAGGATCCCTACTCAGAGGAAACCAGGCCTTGTTAAGCTTCAGTCCTATATTAAAAATACAGGGACTTAGCAAAGGTTTATGTCCAGTAAAATATGGTATACTAAATGTTCACACTCCCAGATGGCTCCAACCTAGCTCAAAGCATGCTGGCAACTAGGATTATACCCTCAGGCAGGAGACTGAAAAACCCTTTTCTTAGAAATTTGACTCCCAAAAGATAAGACCTAATGATACTGAAATCTGGAGTTCCCATGGAAATGGTCCAGTGAGATCACCCTACAATGCAGCCTACAATTGCTGAGCCTCCCTTTCCACTCATATATGGAACTCTAAAAGCTTCCATTCCTAAGTTTATATACACTAAATCTCAGCATCTTATGGAAGAACCAAAATAATAAATGAAAATAACTGGAAAAACCACATAAAGCAGTAAGAGAATTGAACAAAGTAGCAAGATATAAAATTAACATTAAAAACCTATAGTCTTCACCAAAGAAGATACACAGATGGCAAATAAGCATATGAAAAGATGTTCCACATCGTATGTCATCAAGAAAATACAAGTTAAAACAACAATGAGATAATACTACATACCTGTTAGAATGGCCAAAATCCAGAACACTGATAACACCAAACGCTGACAAGGATGTGGAGGAACTCTCAGTCATTGCTGGTGGGAATGCAAAATGGTGCAGCCACTTTAGAAGACAATTGGCAGGTTCTTATAAAACTAAACATACTCCTACCATATGATCCTTGGAATTTACCCAAATGAATTTAAAACTTATGCCCACACAAAAAATCTGCACATGGATGTTATATGGGCATAATTCATAATTTCCAAAACTTGGAAGCAACCAAGATGTCCTTTAGTAGATGAATGGATAAATAAACTGTAGGACATCTAGACAATGAAATATTATTCAGCACTAAAAAGAAATAAACTATAAAGCCATGAAAGTCATGGAAGAGGCTTAAATGCATATTACTAAGTGAAAGAAGGCAATCTGAAAGGCTATATACAGTATGATTCCAACTACATGATATTCTAGAAAAGTCAGAACTATGGAGGAGTCAGTAAAAAGGTTCGTGGTTGCCAGGGACTGGGGCAGGGGGTAGGATGGATAGGTGGTGCACAGATAATATTTAGGGTAGTGAAAATACTCTACTGTCTATTGTACTATAATGATGGATACAAGTCCTCATAAATTAGTCTAAATCCATAGAATGTACAACACCAGATTGAGCCCTAATGTAAACTACAGAGTTTGGATGATTATGATATGTCAATGTGGATTTATCAACTGTAACAAAAATACCACTCTGATGGGGGATATTGATATGGGGAGACCCTGTGCATGTGTGGGTACGGAGGGTCTATGGGAAATTGCTGTACCTTCTACTCAATTTTGCTGTGAACACAAAGCTGCTCTAAAAGTAGTCTTAAAAAATCTATAGTCTTCATTTATACAAACAAAAATGAGTTCAAAGACATAATTTATAATATACCGGAGGTGCCAAAAAAATGTATACAAGTGGACACTTTCATCAACGTTGCTCAAGCAGTAGTTCACCGTAATCAGAAGTGTCTGGATGCTGAATGTAACCACTTTGAGAACCTCTTGTAATTGCAGAAGTCAAATGTAACTTATATCCATCGTTTGTAATCAGCATATATTAAGTATTACAATTTTCATACAGTTTTCCTTTCTTAAAATGTGTTATACATTTTTTTTGGCACCCTCTGAATAATACATATGTATAATAAATATTTTTTTAATTGTAAGCACAAATGCAAACAAATTTTAAAAATGTATAAAATATATGTTCATAAATATATATATATATGTTCAAAAATATATAAGGAAAACTATGTTTAAAAAAATACTATGTACTTGGATAGAAATATTAGGAGACAATTTTCCATGGGTATCTCATGTTTCTGTACATCTGGCAAACAAAAGCACTGGCTGCCTTTGTTTCACACTATCTTTTATAAAAAATGTTTATTGTTGAGGTAGAATTTACATACCACAAAATCCACCCTGTTAAAGTGTACAATTCAGTGGCTTTAAGCATACTCGCTAAGTGTACAATCAACACCACTATCAATTTTATCACCCCAAAAAGAAACTT